GGTGGTTAACGGCTGAACAAAGCAGTACAGATTAAGGAGAGGACAACAGTTTTAGTTCAGTTTTAGTTGAGTTCTAGTTCAGTTCTAGTTCAGTTCTAGTTCAAATCTAGTTCAGTTCTAGTTCAGTTCTAATTCAGTTCTAGTTCAGTTCTAGTTCAGTTCTAGTTCAGTTCTACTTCAGTTCTAGTTCAGTTCTAGTTCAGTTCTAGTTCAGTTCTACTTCAGTTCTAGTTCAGTTCTAGTTCAGTTCTTGTTCAGTTCTTGTTCAGTTCTAGTTCAGTTCTAGTTCAGTTCTAGTTCAGTTCTAGTTCAGTTCTAGTTCAGTTCTAGTTCAGTTCTAGTTCAGTTCTAGTTCAGTTCTAGTTCAGTTCTAGTTCAGTTCTAGTTCAGTTCTAGTTCAGTTCTAGTTCAGTTCTAGTTCAGTTCTAGTTCAGTTGTAGTTCATCACTAGTTAAGTTCTACATCACTTCGAGTTCAGTTCTAGTTCAGTTCTAGTTCAAATCTAGTTCAGTTCTAGTTCAGTTCTAGTTCAGTTCTAGTTCAGTTCTAGTTCAGTTCTAGTTCAGTTCTAGTTCAGTTCTAGTTCAGTTCTAGTTCAGTTCTAGTTCTAGTTCAGTTCTAGTTCAGTTCTAGTTCAGTTCTAGTTCAGTTCTAGTTCAGTTCTAGTTCAGTTCTAGTTCAGTTCTAGTTCAGTTCTAGTTCAGTTCTAGTTCAGTTCTAGTTCAGTTCTAGTTCAGTTCTAGTTCAGTTCTAGTTCAGTTCTAGTTCAGTTCTAGTCAGTTCTAGTTCAGTTCTAGTCAGTTCTAGTTCAGTTCTAGTTCAGTTCTAGTTCAGTTCTAGTTCAGTTCTAGTTCAGTTCTAGTTCAGTTCTAGTTCAGTTCTAGTTCAGTTCTAGTTCAGTTCTAGTTCAGTTCTAGTCAGTTCTAGTTCAGTTCTAGTTCAGTTCTAGTTCAGTTCTAGTTCAGTTCTAGTTCAGTTCTAGTTCAGTTCTAGTCAGTTCTAGTTCAGTTCTAGTTCAGTTCTAGTTCAGTTCTAGTTCAGTTCTAGTTCTAGTCAGTTCTAGTTCTAGTTCTAGTTCAGTTCTAGTTCTAGTTCAGTTCTAGTTCTAGTTCAGTTCTAGTTCAGTTCTAGTTCAGTTCTAGTTCAGTTCTAGTTCTAGTTCAGTTCTAGTTCAGTTCTAGTTCAGTTCTAGTTCAGTTCTAGTTCAGTTCTAGTTCAGTTCTAGTTCTAGTTCATTTCTAATTCAGTTCTAGTTCAGTTCTAGTTCAGTTCTAGTTCAGTTCTAGTTCAGTTCTAGTTCAGTTCTAGTTCAGTTCTAGTTCAGTTCTAGTTCAGTTCTAGTTCAGTTTTAGTTCAGTTGTAGTTCAGTTCTAGTTCAGTTGTAGTTCAGTTGTAGTTCAGTTGTAGTTCAGTTCTAGTTCAGTTGTAGTTCAGTTGTAGTTCAGTTCTAGTTCAGTTCAGTTCTAGTTCAATTCCAGTTCAGTTCTAGTTCAGTTCTAGTTCAATTCTAGTTTAGTTCTATTTCAGTGCTAGTTCAATTCTAGTTCAGTTCTAGTTCAGTTTTAGTTCGGTTCTAGTTCAGTTCTAGTTTAGTTCTAGTTAAATTCTACTTCAATGCTAGTTCAGTTGCCTTCGTTAAAAATTACCAGCATTATTTATTTTCCAACTGTAGGGTGCCTTTTTTAGAAAACAATTTTACAAACCAAATAAAACACACCAATATAAGTACAGAAACCCCCACTACATTTTTTGGCGTGTGTCATTTGTTGATTTACAGGCAGTTGGGAAATTTTGTAACAAAACAACAACAAAAATTAAGACAGCAACCAAAAATTTAAACAAATAAAGAAAATATTTTTAAAATTTATTTTTATTTTCCTTTAAGTAGATAAAAGCCAGTTGTTAGTAACACAAATTTGTGTTAATTTTCTTTATCGTCTAAGAACATTAAATAGACTTTTCTTGTGAACAATAAATTAATTTTCTTTATTTTCAAAGCAAAAAAGGTCAAAACGCTTAATAGTTTGGCGAGGTTTTAAATTACAAATGTTGTCTTTGTCAACATTGCTTTGTCGTTTTTAAGTAAAAGAAATCAAAAGTGAACAATGAATAGTTAAAGGGAATTTTGACACCAGACAATCAGTAGACAGTGATTTTTGTTAGTTTTCCACGAAAATTTTTCTATGAACTTAATGAAACTTTCTTTATAGGTAAATAGTCTAGACCACAGTCTGATTTTTTGTCTACTGTCTATTGTCTATTGTATACCAATGATCAAGTCAACAGTCTAGACATGTTCTCTTCTTAGTTCTTGTTCTAGTTATAGTTCAGATTTAGTTCAGTTCTAGTTCAGTTCTAGTTCAGTTCTAGTTCAGTTCTAGTTCAGTTCTAGTTCAGTTCTAGTTCAGTTCTAGTTCAGTTCTAGTTCAGTTCAGTTCTAGTTCAGTTCAGTTCAGTTCAGTTCTAGTTCTAGTTCTAGTTCTAGTTCAGTTCTAGTTCAGTTCTAGTTCAGTTCTAGTTCAGTTCTAGTTCAGTTCTAGTTCAGTTCAGTTCTAGTTCAGTTTCTAGTTCAGTTCTAGTTCAGTTCTAGTTCAGTTCTAGTTCAGTTCAAGTTCAGTTCTAGTTCAGTTCTAGTTCAGTTCTAGTTCAGTTTCTAGTTCTAGTCAGGTTCTAGTTCAGTTCTAGTTCAGTTCTAGTTCAGTTCTAGTTTCAGTTCTAGTTCAGTTCTAGTTCAGTTCTAGTTCAGTTCTAGTTCAGTTCTAGTTTCAGTTCTAGTTCAGTTCTAGTTCAGTTCTAGTTCAGTTCTAGTTCAGTTCTAGTTCAGTTCTAGTTCAGTTCTAGTTCAGTACTAGTTCAGTTTCTAGTTCAGTTCTAGTTCAGTTCTAGTTCAGTTCTAGTTCAGTTCTAGTTCAGTTCTAGTTCAGTTCTAGTTCAGTTCTAGTTTAGTTCTAGTTCAGTTCTAGTTCAGTTCTAGTTCAGTTCTAGTTCAGTTCTAGTTCAGTTCTAGTTCAGTTCTAGTTCAGTTCTAGTTCAGTTCTAGTTTAGGTTCTAGTCAGTTCTAGTTCAGTTCTAGTTCAGTTCTAGTTCAGTTCTAGTCAGTTCTAGTTCAGTTCTAGTTCAGTTCATAGTTCAGTTCTAGTTCAGGTTCTAGTTCCAGTTCAGTTCTAGTTCCGTTCTAGTTCAGTTCTAGTTCAGTTCAGTTCTAGTTCAGTTCAAGTTCAGTTCTAGTTCAGTTCTATTCAGTTCTAGTTCAGTTCTAGTTCAGTTCTAGTTCAGTTTCTAGTTCAGTTCTAGTTCAGTTCTAGTTCAGTTCTAGTTCAGTTCTAGTTCAGTTCTAGTTCAGTTTCAGTTCTAGTTCAGTTCTAGTTCAGTTCTAGTTCAGTTCTAGTTCAGTTCTAGTTCAGTTCTAGTTCAGTTCTAGTTCAGTTCTAGTTTCAGTTCTAGTTCAGTTCTAGTTCAGTACTAGTTCAGTTCTAGTTCAGTTCTAGTTCAGTTCTAGTTCAGTTCTAGTTCAGTTCTAGTTCAGTTCTAGTTCAGTTCTAGTTCAGTTCTAGTTAGTTCTAGTTCAGTTCTAGTTCAGTTCTATTTCAGTTCTAGTTCAGTTCTAGTTCAGTTCTAGTTCAGTTCTAGTTCAGTTCTAGTTCAGTTCTAGTTCAGTTCTAGTTCAGTTCTAGTTCAGTTCTAGTCAGTTCAGTTCAGTTTAGTTCCGTTCTAGTTCAGTTCTAGTTCAGTTCTAGTTCAGTTCTAGTTCTCGTTACTAGTTCAGTTCTAGTTCAGTTCTAGTTCAGTCAGGTTCTAGTTATAGTTCAGTTTAGTTTCAGTTCTAGTTCAGTTCTAGTTCAGTTCTAGTTCAGTTCTAGTTCAGTTCTAGTTCAGTCTAGTTCAGTTCTAGTTCAGTTCTAGTTCAGTTCTAGTTCAGTTCTAGTTCAGTTCTAGTTCAGTTCTAGTTTCAGTTCTAGTTCAGTTCTAGTTCAGTTCTAGTTCAGTCTCTAGTTTCAGTCTAGTTCAGTTTCTAGTTTCTAGTTCGTCAGTTCAGTTCTAGTTCAGTTCTAGTTCAGTTCTAGTTCAGTTCTAGTTCAGTTCTAGTTCAGTTCTAGTTCAGTTCTAGTTCAGTTCTAGTTCAGTTCTAGTTCAGTTCTAGTTCAGTTCTAGTTCAGTTCTAGTTCAGTTCTAGTTCAGTTCTAGTTCAGTTCTAGTTCAGTTCTAGTTCTTAGTCGTCTAGTCAGTCTAGTTCAGTTCTAGTTCAGTTCTAGTCAGTTCTAGTTCAGTTCTAGTTCAGTTCAGTTAGTTCAGTTATAGTTCAGTTCTAGTTCAGTTCTAGTTCAGGTCTAGTTCAGTTCTAGTTCAGTTCTAGTTCAGTTCTAGTGCAAGTTATCCTATGGTCTAAACTTTAGAGTTGTCTAGAGCTTTAACCTTTGTGAAACCAAGACAGCGATAGGTACTCCATTATAATACAATATTTGTAACACTCTGTAGACTCTTTTAAGAGGCCTGTTCATTTTTGAATTGAACAAAATTATAAGTATGTATGTTATAAGATAAACGTGTTTGATTAAGCTCCAAACAAAACAAGTGGGTCAAAAACCGGTTTTAATTAAAGTTGCCAAGGGATGACTTTGTATTTTGCCAATAATACAAACTGATTGACTGTACTACCCACCATGCTATTAATAACAATAATTTCAAATACTAACTAAAGAACTTCTAGACAAACTAACTTTATCTTAAAAAATAATAATAATAAACAAACCAAGAATATTCCAAAGTATTTTTAAAATATTTTCCATTCAATTTTTCTTCTTTTACCGCAAAACAAATTTATTGCTATTGATAGTTAGTCCATTTAAAAAAAGAAATAAGCTTATCAATAAATTAATAAAATCTACTTATAGGTAATTTGCAAAACACAATAAAAACAAAAAGACCAAATATCATTATGGATTTTGATAATTTAATTGTATTTTACTAATAAACAAAAAATTTATTTTTTATAATTTCAGACTACGAGCGACATTGCACGAGAAAAGTTAAGGCAGTTAATAAAAATACAAATTTTTGGCTGAAATATTTTTAAATAAAAACAAGTCTTAAGAAAAAGATAAAAATTACAATAATACAATAAATAATTAAATAAATGGTGTTTTTTTTAAAAAGATTCAATAAGTTCAAATTAAAAAAGTGCCAATGAAATAGAAAAAAAGTGGAGAAAAGCAGAAGAACCGGCAGTTTTTTTATAATAATTCAAAAAGCAAAAAAATATATATAAAAATATATAATTAATACAATACTATGGACTCACGCGAACTATTACTTTTTCTGGCCTGCATGGGCCTGCTAGGTGGTTTACGTTTTACCTCTACCACCACCACTACCTCTTAGTGGCTGCCATGTCTATAGCGAATCAAGACTTAGAGCGTTATTTTCACTCAGCCAATAGAACACAAACTTTAGCCTCAGAGGAGCGCTAGCCATGGATGTCTATACATATGCCTTTCTCAATTACTCCTACATGGAAAACCAACAACTGCGTGTGGTCAACTATCAAGAGGAAAAGGCCCGTTATGGTGAGGGTTAAAATATTAACCGTACAAGGCAAGCTAATACACATTAGCACACCCGAAGATCCTAAAGATGATTCGGCCTGTTCGTCGAATTTGTTGGGTACCAATGGTACACCCATACCACCATATGGCATCTCCTGGATAGCCCTGGTGCGCCGAGGACGCTGTACTTTTGAGGAAAAAGTCAAAAATGTTTTTCTTAGTGGTGCAGCGGGTGTTATCATCTATAATGATAAGCCCGTTATGAATTTGGAAAAGATGCAGATTAAGGGTAATAAACACGTAAGTGCAAACAAAAAGAATTATTATTGTATTTAAAATGCGCATTTTTGTTAATACGTGTTGTATTTATTTTTGGATTTTATTGTGGTTTCTAGGTAATATAACAGCTGTGATAACTTATCAAGATTGGTCTAGAAATGGCCATGCGTCTTGATCAAGGGTTTGATGTTTCGGCCATATATAATAGAGGGACGTAGTGGTATGCGGCCTATAAATAGTTTGAATAGGTAAGTTTTTATAAAATGTTATAAAAACTTAAGATCTGAGAAGTGATCAATAACAATTCTAAACTAGAACTGACTAAGAACTGAACTAGAACTGAACTAGAATGAACTAGAACGAACTAGAACTGAACTAAACTGAACTATAACTGAAACTAGAACTGAACTAGAATGAACTAGAACTGAACTAGAACTGAACTAGAACTGAACTAGAACTGTAACTAGAACTGAACTAGGAACTGAACTAGAACTGAACTAGGAACTGAACTAGAACTGAACTAGAACTGAACTGAATGAACTAGAACTGAACTAGAACTGAACTAGAACTGAACTAGAACTGAACTAGAACTGAACTAGAACTGAACTAGAACAGAATTAGAACTGAAGTAGAACTGAACTAAAATGAACTAGAACTGAACTAGAACTGAACTAGAACTGTACTAGACTGAACTACAACTGAACTACAACTGAATACAACTGAACTACAAATGAAACTACAACTAAACTAGAACTGTACTAGAACTGAACTAGAACTGAAACTAGACTGAACTAGAAACTGAACTAGAACTGAACTAGAAATGAACTAGAACTGAACTAAACGAACTAGAACTGAACTAGAACTGAAAGAAATGAACTAGAATAGAACTGAACTAGAACTGAACTAGAACTGAACTAGAATGAACTAGAACTGAACTAGAACTGAACTAGAACTGAACTAGAACTGAACTAGAACTGAACTAGAACTGAACTAGAACTGAACTAGAACTGAACTAGAACTGAACTAGAACTGAACTAGAACTGAACTAGAACTGAACTAGAACTGAACTAGAACTGAACTAGAACTGAACTAGAACTGAACTAGAACTGAACTAGAACTGAACTAGAACTGAACTAGAACTGAACTAGAACTGAACTAGAACTGAACTAGAAACTGAACTAGAACTGAACTAGAACTGAACTAGAACTGAACTAGAACTGAACTAGAACTGAACTAGAACTGAACTAGAACTGAACTAGAACTGAACTAGAACTGAACTAGAACTGAACTAGAACTGACTAGAACTGAACTAGAACTGAACTAGAACTGAACTCGAACTGAACTAGAACTGAACTAGAACTGAACTAGAACTGAACTAGAACTGAACTAGAACTGAACTAGAACCTGAACTAGAACTGAACTAGAACTGAACTAGAACTGAACTAGAATGAACTAGAACTGAACTAGAACTGAACTAGAACGTACTAGAATGAACGCGAACTAGAACTGAACTCGAACTGAACTAGAACTGAACTAGAACTGAACTAGAACTGAACTCGAACTGAACTAGAACTGAACTAGAACTGAAATAGAACTGAACTAGAAACTGACTAGAACTGACACTAGAACTGAACTAGAACTGAACTAGACTGAACTAGAAATGAACTAGAACTGAACTAGAACTGAACTAGAACTGAACTAGAACTCGAACTGAAACTAGAACTGAACTAGAACTGAACTAGAACTGAACTAGAACTGAACTAGAACCTGAACTAGAACTGAACTAGAACTGAACTAGAACTGAACTAGAACTGAACTAGAACTGAACTAGAACTGAACTAGAACTAGAACTAGAACTGAACTAGAACTGAACTAGAACTGAACTAGAACTGAACTAGAACTGAACTAGAACTGAACTAGAACTGAACTAGAACTGAACCTGTGGACATAACAAATT